TGCACTTGTACTGTGCTACTCTGGAAAACAGATGGCCTCAGTGTGCTAATGGTTTAAAGGCTGCTAGGTAAAAAAGTTGAAAAACTAGTTACATAGCAGTTACATGTAACAAGGTGGATCTCAGACACAGTTATGTGTTTAAGGAGGCATGTTCTGCACCAGGGACTTGCATCTGCATTAGCAGCTTGCAGATAAGTGCTTTCACTCAATATTATGGAATTGAGTCATGTCATGTATTCCTCGTTATGAAGGTGGGATGGATGCATATGCAGATATGAGTTTAATGAGAGATAGACAGGCAGACAAATCCAAAACACAAGACAATAGCGAGGTCAAAAAACAGGCAAAGGGTCAGGCGATTGGCAAAAAGGCATAAACAGGGCAAGGCTAGAATCGAGAAGGAGAGTAAGATCAAGAACCATGAAACTGTCACGTTTCAAAGGTAGATGCGGAAGCAATCGCAGATTTTAAACATTTTATTAAATAAATCAACAAAACACAAAAGATACTATGACTAATGCAAAACACAGTGGCAATGACTAAACATAAACTAACAGGATCAAAACATGGTAACGTGGACAACGGTAGTTTAAAACAAACGTAAGACAGGGAAGCAGTGCAAACAATGGCTATATATAAGCGTGCTTGTTAACAGAAACATGATTCAGGTGCAGGTGGTCATGTGACATAGTAGTACAGTGCAGTGGCTGATGGGAACCGAAGTCCAGAGTTACCCCGAGGGTCCCTCAAAATAACTCACCACACAGCCATTAATGTCTAAACTGATGGCAACAAAAGTGAGTACACCCCTAAGTGAAAGGTTCCAATTTGGGCCCAATTAGCCATTTTCCATCCCTGGTGTCATGTGACTTGTTAGTGTTACAATGTCTCAGATGTGAATTGGGAGCAGGTGTGTTAAATTTGGTGTCATTGGTGTCATTGCTCTCACACTCCCTCATACTGGTTACTGGAAATTCAACATGGCACCTCATGGCAAAGAACTCTCTAAGGATCTGAAGAAAAGCTCTACATAAAGGTGGCCTAGGCTATAAGAAAATTGCCAAGACCCTGACACTGAGCTGCAGCACGGTGGCCAAGACCATACCATTTAACAGGCCTCGCCATGGTCGACCAAAGAAGTTGAGTGCACGTGCTCAGTGTCATATCCAGTGGTTATCTTTGGTAATTATATGTATGAGTGCTGCCAGCATTGCTGCAGAGGTTGAAGGGGTGGGGGGTCATCCTATCAGTGCTCAGACCATATGCCGCACACTGCATCAAATTGGTCTGCATGGCTGTCGTCCCAGAAGGAAGCTTCTTCTAAAGATGATGCACAAGAAAGTTTGCTGAAGATAAGCAGACTAAGGACATGGATTACTGGAACCATGTCATGTGGTCTGATGAGACCAAGTTTAACTTATTTGGTTCAGATGGTGTGAAGCGTGTGTGGCGGCAACCAGGTGAGGAGTACAAAGACAAGTGTATCTTGCCTATAGTCATGCATGGTGGTGGGAGTGTCATGGTCTGGGGCTGCATGAGTGCTGCCAGCACTGGAGAGCTACAGTTCATTGAGGGAACCATGAATGCCAACATGTACTGTGACATACTGAAGCAGAGCATGATCCCCTCCCTTTGGAGACTGGGCGGTAGTCCAGCATGATAACGACCCCAAACACACCTCCAAGACGACCACTGCCTTGCTAAAGAAGCTGAGGGGCATCCTCATACGGAAAGTGGAGGAGCACAAGGTCTCTAACATCCACCAACTCCGTGATGTTGTCATGGAGGAGTGGAAGAGGACTGCAGTGTCAAGTGTGAAGCTCTGGTGAACTCCAAGCCGAAGAAGGTTAAGTTAGTGCTGGAAAATAATGGTGGCCACACAAAATATTGACACTTTGGGCCCAATTTGGACATTTTCACTTAGGAGTGTACTTACTTTTGTTGCCAGCGGTTTAGACATTAATGACTGTGTGTTGAGTTATTTTGAGGGGACAGTAAATTTACACTGTTATACAAACTGTACACTCACTACTTTACATTGTAGCAAAGTGTCATTTCTTCAGTCTTGTCACATAAAAAGATATAATCAAATATTTACAAGAATGTGAGGGGTGTACTCATTTTTGAGAGATACTCTGTGTGTGTGTGTGTGTGTGTGTGTGTGTGTATATAGAAAACCTCTTTTATATTTTTAAAACCCCTACTCCCGACCTTGGGAAGAAGAAGACACCTCTATTTGTGACATACACATTACAGCGCAGTGAAATTTCTTTCTTCACATATCGCAACTTGTTAGAAACCTGTGGTCAGAGCTCAGGGTCAGCCATGATATAGTGCCCCTGGAGCAGATAGGGTTAAGGGCCTTGCCCAAGTGGCAGCTTGATGCTTTGGAGGCTTAACTGTTGGGATACGACTGCCCACCATTGAATCACAACTGATATTTAGTCACAATTGAGCCACTCATGCTATTTATCCTTGCAACATATCCTCAAAACTGGTAACTTTCTTCGGTGCTGTACGTCTGTGGAATTTCAGTAAACATTTTAGATGTCCTGTTCTTTGTCTAATTACTTTACTTTGTAAGCTTTAGGTTTGATTAAATTTCCATTCATAAAAATAAAAGATCCCACATGGGGAAGCCAGAAAGTGTCAGATCTATACCTGCACTCACAGAGAAGTCAGTTTCCCAGGACACACCTCACCCTACCAACATGGCTAATGAAGACTATACCGGTTTTTGATCTTGCTTACGTTCTAGTTTCTGCTCCTTTGGTTTTGCCCAGTTTGTACTGTTTGCTCATCGCCTGACACTTTCCATGTTTCTGACTACAATTCTTCCTCTTGTTTTGGATTTGTTTGCCTGTAAACTGTTTATTAAACTCTCTTTGAATTTGAATCTGTTTCCATTCATAAAAATAAAAATCCCACAGGGGATGCCAAAAATGATAAATCGTAAGTATACTCATATGTTTTTAAGGGGGATTATGATGAGGATCACACTATTAGAATTGATTCCAAAAGTTAAATTATTTTGAGAGTGGACATGAATTTCAAGTGAGTGAATAGTTGACATTCAGGTCTGTGCACACAAAGGAAAGAGTCTCATTAAATCAGTCTGCTCTGGGAGCAATGTACTAAAAAAACCAAGAAAAAATAGTAAAATTGTACATTTACTGTAGTGCACTACATGAGCTACATATACAAACAGGTAAGAAATTAAAGGAAAGACTGGTTGCTCTATCATGCTGAATTTTGCTGGCATGGCTCTACTTCCCTTAGAGGAAGGAGCACTGCAAAATCGATTAAAATGATTCTGAATGATCATGATATCCTGATGATGAAATACGAGGCGTCACTGAAGGGTTTGACTAATAGGACAATTATGTAAATCAGCAGTTATTAACCTTTTTGCTATGACCCGCTTTTAAGAATGACGAGATTTTTTCGAAGCCAATGTTTGCTTTATACCAGGTGTAACAGGACCACTACCTTCCAAACAGTTCCACTTTCAACTCATCAGTCCACAGAACATTCTCCCAAAGGGTTCGAGGATAATCAAGGTGTGTTTTGGCAAAATTCAGACGAGCCTTAATGTTCTTCAGATCAGTCAACATTGGTTCAAGTACTCAAGAAAATCCAAATTTCTTTGCATCATTTGCTTTACAAAGCACTGCGTAATAGATGGATGACAATGAGGAGCAAGATACACTGCAAATATTTCCCAACACTCAATAGACACCAGTAATTCTGTGCTCTATTTGAAATGACCCAAGTAGATTACACACCTCAATATCATCAATGTAGTGTATAAGAAAAATTCTTATATCATCTCCAGACAAAAAGCTATTTACTTTGAAATGTGAACCGTCAGAAAAGGATTAATTTTGTACTTTTATAGCTTTGTCCATTCTTGAACACCTCATCATTCTTACTTAATATCTCTGACAGCGATTGCAAAATTTAACATACTGGAATGTGCTTTTATCATCTGGTACATATGCTACGGGTTCAAGAATAGAGAATTGCTCCTTGTGAAACATATGTCTTTTGTATGAAGTGTTGAAAGGTCCACCCCAAGAACTGCATTTAGCGGTTTAAAGGAGGTACATTTTCCACCAAATATAAGGCTAGTTAGTCATCATCATTGCAACCATTCCTTTTTAACGTGGTCTCAATAATATGTTTGATAACTGAATTCAAAGTAGTTGATGTTATAAATTGTAACTCATCTATTATTTCATCAATGCACTTATTAGACACATTGAAAATGCTTTCTAATTTGAGAAAAAGACAACCCAACTTATTGTTGATTATTTGGACACAATCTTATTTTCCACAACAGGTTCACATTCATTGCTTTCATCGACTCCCAATTCAGTATCATCAGGTGTTTAGGACAAGTTTCAAATGTTCAAGCACGTGGGGATTGTGCTTCCTGCTTTTATGAGATGCAAAAGTTATATAAGAATATATATTTGTACATTACTTATAATTATTGAAATCACACGTCACTGTTTCATACTTTTTTAGATGACCTTGATTGTGCTCAAAGTATTGTCCTTCTGAATGGTTACTTACTGTATTACAAACAAAACACCTAAAAGAGAGGGCCTGCCCAGAATCCAATGACTTTCTTTGATCTCTGGACAAATAGGGCACTACAGGACCTGAAGCAACAATGACAATCGGACAAGGAGTACGGACAAGGAGTTTAGTAGTTCTTATCTTTTCAGTGTAGTAAAGTTGCATTTTTTTACACAACTACCTTATGTGAAAAGTTAATACTGAAGAAAGATCATCCATCCACATACCGCTTATCCTATACAGTGTCGTTGGTAGCCTGGAGCCCATTCTAGGGGACAAGGCAGGGGACACCCTGGATGGGGTGCCAATCTATCACAGGGCAAAGTCACACAGACACGATTTAGAGATGAAAGGCTATCAGCCTATAGTGCATGTCTTCGACTGGGGGAATAAACCAGAGTACCCAAACTCCGCGCACACACAGGCAGGAATTCGAACCCCCAACCCTGGAGGTATTAGGCAAACATGCTAACCACTAAGCCACTGTGTCCACTGAAGAAAGACCAATCACATTACAATTCTTGACTCTATAGTGCCTTGCGAAAGTATTCGGCCCCCTTGACCTTTTCAACCTTTTGCCACATTTCAGGCTTCAAACATAAAGATATAAAATTTTAATTTTTTGTGAAGAATCAACAACAAGTGGGACACAATTGTGAAGTGGAACGAAATCTATTGGATATTTTAAACTTTTTTAGCAAATAAAAAACTGAAAAGTGGGGCGTGCAAAATTATTCGGCTCCATTACTTTCAGTGCAGCAAACTCACTCCAGAAGTTCAGCGAGGATCTCTGAATGATCCAATGTTGTCCTAAATGACTGATGGTGATAAATAGAATCCACCTTTGTGTAATCAAGTCTCTGTATAAATGCACCTGCTCTGTGATAGTCTCAGGGTTCTGTTGAAAGCGCAGAGAGCATCATGAAGACCAAGGAACACACCAGGCAGGTCCGTAATACTGTTGTGGAGAAGTTTCAAGCCGGTTGGATACAAAAAGATTTCCCAAGCTTTAAACATCCCAAGGAGCCGTGCAAGCGCTCATTTTGAAATGGAAGGAGTATCAGACCATCTGCAAATCTACCAAGACCTGGCCGTCCCTCTAAACTTTCAGCTCAGACAAGGAGAAGACTGATCAGAGATGCAGCCAAGAGGCCCATGATCACTCTGGATGAACTGCAGAGAACTACAGCTGAGGTGGGAGAGTCTGTCCATAGGACAACAATCAGTCGTACACTGCACAAATCTGGCCTTTATGGAAGAGTGGCAAGAAGAACCCTGAGACTATCACAGAGCAGGTGCATTTATACAGAGACTTGATTACACACAGGTGGATTCTATTTATCACCATCAGTCATTTAGGACAACATTGGATCATTCAGAGATCCTCGCTCGCGAACTTCTGGAGTGAGTTTGCTGCACTGAAAGTAATGGAGCCGAATAATTTTGCGCACCACTTTTCAGTTTTTATTAGCTAAAAAAAAACCAATAGATTTCGTTCCACATCACAACTGTGTCCCACTTGTTGTTGATTCTTCACACAAAAAAAAAATTAATATTTTATATGTTTTTTTTACGAAATCGAAAGGTGTGAAAAGTATCAAGGGGCCGAATACTTTCGCAAGGCACTGTATATGCAACACTGAACTGTACCCCAGCGTGGACTGATGACAATTGTGTTTGGTCCCTTTTTTCTGTCCCTCTCAACTGCTCTGCAGCAAAGATGACACAAATTACAGGATGTGCATGAGAAATATATCCTGCAATCAAGAAAACAAACAAAAAAAGTAATTAGTTAACTGCAAAAGACCATTTTCAAACCAAATATTAATATTAGTATTTGCATTACTCATTTCACTCATTTGATGGTTAAACAGGCTAAACATTAGCAGGAATTTTGAAACAATGCTGAAACAGAAAAAAAACCCTGTCAGCATTCATATATTTTACATCATTTGCTGTGTGTCCTGGTGCCCAGAATGACTTGTGTTAAAAAAAAAAAAAAAGCGGTAAAAGAACTCCACAATGAAATGTCATGACTATATAACGTACCAGATCATTATCATGCTGCATGCGTGTACATGTCCTTGTCACAATTTTTGTCACGTTAACTCTAGCTAATTTAAGACCCACTGCACAACTGTTAAAAACTACAAATGTCAAACAAAAGGATATTATCATGGGTTAAGTAACACATTCACGGTTCTAGGCATCTTTATGTAAAACTTAGAGGTTTTAAGACGTGTATATATAGGCTTCACTAAAGCTCAAACATCATTGAAGACACTGTAAACTTTCCAAATGTACAGAATTAAATGATGACAACTCAACTGTTGAATGTAATCACATTTACTAAATGAATTCAATTTAAAAATCCAAAGCATGATGCTGTTTTAAATGTTACCCGTCAAAACAATTTGAAGAAGCCCTTACTGGTGATCACAGGTTTTCTTCTTTCTGCATATACCTAGATTCCTTTCTTCCAGACGGTGTAATTTGCTTTAAGTATTTTATTAATTCATGTAAATATGTCAAAGAATCACAAGCTAAAATTAGGATACATTTCTGTTTTATTTACATAGCCATAAAACCATTTATTACAGTGTAGTTCATGTTGTGTTTGGCATTCCTTTAAAAGACCGACGAGCGAAGGAGACTATAGGCCTCATCGATTCTCTCTTCCAGATGTCAAGTGTTATTGGAAGCATAGATTAAGTTGCACAAACTCGGAAAAGCATGTTATAAAAATTTCCCTTTGTTGTATAAATAAGTTTAAATGGTTAGAGAAAACCTTCCGTCAGCACATTTTGTATAGGTTGGTGGAATGTACACATGTTCCTGCAGGAGGATTAATAATTTATGCCCGGACCAGGCTCATCTCTCAAACCTCTCATTGGCTTGTTTAGCAAACAAGAAGTGACAGGGCTAACAAGATGGCCCTGGGTGGCAGAGAGAGCGATGTCATAATCCAGCATGTCAGAAAGCTTTTTTCTTTGAATGAGATTAGTACCTTTTGAATGAGCCCAGGTCATAATCTGCTCTACCATGATTGTCGTCATTATTTCTGGTAACAGCTGTGAAATGCTATGTGCATGTGGTATAAGGGTAGTGGGTTGGTAATGATGCAATACGTTTCTGCCATGCCAGGGACAGCTTTACTCTGAGCTTTACCTCGCACTCTAGACAGGGTAAGGGATATCATGTCTTGTCTCAGAGTTTGTACAAAAGAGCATTGATTAGCTGCAGTTTCAGTTAGTGGTTGGTAAATTATCTATTTGCTGGACCGAGTGTTTATGCATCAGAGATCAGTGGCAATGAGGGAAAGGGCTTTTTTAATCAAAACACTTTGCACAGGGCAACTGGAGTGCCCTGAGTGGCCGTGTGTAAATCCATTTTCAGTGAACTTAAACTTCCACATTTTGTTATATTACAGCCTTATTCCAATATGGATTAAATTCATTATTTTCCTCAAAATTCTACAAACAATACCCCATAATGACAACATGTCACATATCGTGACGTAAGGGAAGATAGGATGGATGCAATCGCAGTTCGAACGGTAACTTTATTTACAGAGAGGTGAGCAGACAAATCCAAAACGTAATCCAGACACGTAATCCAAAACAGGCGAGAGGTCATGTGATCAGCAAACAGTCATACAGGATACGGCAGGAAACGAAGTCGTGGTCGTGGGAAACTGGGTCGAGAAACAAAACGAGAAACATGAAACATGACGTGGAACTGGGAGCGGATAACCCAGCGTGAACTAACTCTAAACATAGACTATGGCTATGGCTATGGCTATGAAACAATCTAAGTTAACCTGAAACATGAAACATAAACTATGACTGTGACTATGAACATGACATGAACAAGACTAGTCTAAACTACTCTATGTTATCTCTAATACTTTAATCTTCTGCCATGAGTGTAGCATGGCACACGGTATATATACTATACCGCCATGATTAGCCACGTAACTGCTAACAGCTGCGGGTAATCCAAACACACGTGACTTGACAACACATGACAGGACGGGGCGGAGACATGACATCAACAATAACAAAGACACGTGTTTATGCACGTGTCGAAATGTCACTGCTGTCAACATTGAAAAAGCAGGTGCTCGCGCATTACCGCTTAGAGCACGCTGCTTCACGGGGGAATCATGACAACATGTAAGAAGTTTGTTTGAAATCTTTGCAAATTTATTAAAAATAAAAAACAAAAAAAGCATTCACAGCCTTTGCTCAATACAAGCCTTGCACACTTATTTTTGGGCAGTTTCTCCCATTCTTCTTTGCAGGACCTCTCAAGCTCCATCAGGTTGGATATACCAACGGTGCACAGCCATTTTCAGATCTCTCCAGAGATGTTCAATCGGGTTCATGTTTGGGCGCTGGCTGGGCCACTCAAGGACATTCACAGAGTTGTCCTGTAGCCACTTCTTTGTTATCTTGGCTGTTTGCTTAGGGTCGTTGTCCTGTTGGAAGATGAACCTTCGCCCCAGTCTGAGGTCCAGAGCGCTCTGGAGCAGGTTTTCATCAAGGATGTCTCTGTACATTCCTGCATAATTATTCTCTCGATCCTGACTAGTCTCCCAGTTACTGCTGCTATAAAACATCCCCAAAGCATGATGCTGCCACCACCATGCTTCACTGTAGGGATGGTATTGGTCAGGTGATGAGTGGTGCCTGGTTTCCTCCAGACATGATGCTTGCCATTCAGGCCAAAGAGTCCAATCTTTGTTTCATCAGACCAGAGAATTTTGTTTCTCATGGTGTGAGAGTCCTGTCATGTGCCTTTTACTGAGGAGTGGCTTCCGTCTGGCCACTCTACCATACAGGCCTGAGCGAAGTTTGTTCTTCTGGAAGGTTCTCCTCTCTCCTCAGAGAGCTGGAGCTTTGTCAGAGTGAACATCGGGTTTTTGGTCACCTCTTTGACTAAGGCCCTTCTCCCCCAATCACTCAATTTGGCCGGGCGGCCAGCTCTAGGAAAACTCGTGGTGGTTCCAAACTTCTTCAATTTATGGATGATGGAGGCCACTGTTTCTGTACCCTTCCCCAGATCTGTGCTTTGATACAATCCTGTTTCGCAGGTCTACAGACAGTTCCTTGCACTTCATGGTTTGGTTTGTGCTCTGACATGCATTGTTAACTGTGGGACGTTATATAGACAGGTGTGTGCCTTTCCAAATCATGTTCAATCAACTGAATTTACCACAGGTGGACTCCAATCAAGTTGTAGAAACATCTCGAGGATGATCAGTGGAAACAGGATGCACCTGCGTACAATTTTGAGTGTCATGGCAAAGGCTGTGAATACTTATGTACATGTGCTTTTTTGTTTTTTTATTTTCAATAAATTTTTACATAAATTAAAGATTTACAAACGTCCTTCACATTGTAATTATGGGGTATTGTTTGTAGAATTTTGAGGAAAATAATGAATTTAATCAATTTTGGAATAAGGCTGGAACATGACAAAATGTGG